GTCTCTCTTTTCTTATCTGAGGGATGGGGATAATAATAGTGTGGATTAAATGACCTTATAGATAAAAGTGCCTAGTACAATAACTGAAACACAGTAGGCTTTCAACAAATGGCAATGATAGTTATTATTGATGATATATATACTGGAATTTTTATCAGTATTAGTATGGGTATTAACAGCAGTATTATATTAGAATATTTAATACTCTGTCTTCGTTCCATAAAGTTTTGCTAATCAATCGATTACAGCACTGATTTTGGCTAGTCATTCATTTCTCTCTCACGGAAAATATTATTAGAATTCTAGTTATGGAAATTAAAACAAGTTGTATATGACCTGGTATAAACAGCTAGGCAAGTGCTGATTATGTATAGCCTAGACAGCATTGAGCAAGATCTCAAAAGGAATGGAAAAATTCATATCCAATTGTTGAAAGTTATTGCCCTCAGAAGGCAGCATTATAGGTGCTTTCTGAATTGGGTGGAGGAGGTAGTACCATTTAGTCTTATAAAGTTTACTTGTGGTTGTCTAAAGCAGAGGTTCTTAATTATGATACTGGTTTGAAATTTTCCCTACCTTCATGATTCACACATTACTGGTAGCCAAGTACTTGAAAGTTCAACAAAAAATTTATGTGCACTAAGGAAAGTGGTGGTTCCAGTTCCTAAAAGCTAAAATATTTTAAGATCCCTAACTATGGCCCCTTGGGTAGTAAGAATATTCTTAAGTGTCTTGGCCTGCGCAAAGCACAGTTTCTGAAGCAAGTGACTCTCATGGACTGGTCCATCTGGTCAAATGCTGCCCATCCCTGGATGCCACTTTTTTAGCTGATGTCATCAAAGAGCCCATAATCTGTAAAAAAAAATTTTGTGAGTGCTGGGGATCTATAGCAGGGACTGGAGAAAAGTGCTATTTTCCCATTACATGGCTGCACTGTCCAAAAAGGCATTTGCCAACTGACTTCAACCTAGTTCTGCAGTGTATGGAGGAATCACGGGTGAGAGTTGAAGAGGCTGGAGAATAAATGTGTAGAATAATGTGGGTGGGTGGGGAAGGTTGGGCTGGGTGAAGGAACACTCATATAGTCATCAATCTACTTTACACTATTAAACCACTGGACCTCAGATGTAACCCTGGACTCCATGGGAATATGCTTGATTTGGGGTTGAGAGTAGCTATAGCGTTTATCATGAAGGTCAGGGAAAAGGGAGTGAGAGGTGTTTCAAAGGTCATGACTAGGCCCTGCTCCTGATACCATTCTCCACATAGACTTGGCCTCAAAGTGGGCCTTTTCTCCCAGGGGCTGTGCACCATGTGACAGCTACAAATACTTTAAAGAGGAGGTTATAAGGCAACATTGTAGAATGTAGTTTGAAATTCTCATTTATGAAAGGGTGACTGCCTATACTAATAAGGCACTTTTGCAAATTTTTAAAAAATCAATTAGATTTAAAATTATACTTATAATATTGCTATGTTCACTTATACATCCACATACTTTCTTGAGTAGGAGAGAAGGTAAGAACTGTACAGAGCTCTGAATATTCCCATGGGAGTGTGCCAGGCACAAGAATATCAGCATTATTCGGAACAGCTGCTCCAGTGAAAGCTTTCTCTGACCAACATTTTTTTTCTATTGGGTGTTCTTGCTTTTGAGAGGAGAAATTGCAGATACAAGATTTATAAAACTTCCAATATGCTAGTATAAAATTATTGAGCTGTGGGTTTCACAGCTTTCCTCATTCCTCCTTTGTTGCCTTAATTTCTTCCCTTTTACTATTCTGTCAAGAAAAGGATAATAGCTTCTCAAGTGAATTGTTGAGAAAAAAGCAATTAGAGTGGAATAAAAACCATGGGGACCTAGTGGATGAGAGAGATAACTCTCTCAGTATAGAAGTGTGAGAGAACCCTGGGAGGCTGGGGGTACTCGAGAGTCTAATAAGAGTACAGGTGAGTTTAATCAGAGTTGCTGTGGGTTATACACTTAAACTCCATTACCTGTTTGAGAGATAAATGGGTGGCGAGATTGAAATTCTACTCTCTGTCATGTTTCTTTAATCCAACATCACACTAAGACAGATGACTGGGCTTTGGGACATGGGGAATGTACAGTGCCACAGTTTTATGAGCATAAAACAAACCACACATTCTTTAGCTAACATCACTATCCTTTGTACCATGTCTCTTCCCCTGAAACAGTCTTTCTCTGGGATCAGGGACAGGGTGGGTGGATGGCAGTGGAGGTGTAGGGGTTGACAAGGGTAACCCGCTCAGGCTGCTGTGGAAATAAGAATGGTGGTAACAGTTCAGGCATGGAAACCGTAGAGCTCTGTTTCCCTTTGTTTCTCCAAGAAAAGTATATTAAAGGCAGAAAATACTAGCATATAGATCTTTGTCAGAAACAAGGATAGCAAATCAGTCACAGAAACTTCCATTTGGTCTCCCAGATATTAGACTTCAGAGTCGAATCAAACTGCCAACTTTATATAAAGTACCCAACTCTTGCCTGTGTGTGGCGATGCCATCACCAACTTGCCATTTGCTGGCCTGTCCACAGGATGACTGCACATCCCATTAAACCACACACTCTGGCCCTGTGACACAAGCCCTCATGTTGACTTTACCTCCGGATCATTTTGACTTTTTGGCATTTTCTCATTTTAGAGTCTTCGTCAGTATTTTCCAACTATGATAAACATTCATAATCTTGAAAAAGCAGGGAAGAAATTGTTTTATCTGCTTTTCTTCAAAAAGAAGGCTCTTACCTGCCTGCTTCTACAGCCATAGAACAGTTAGAGAGCTCTGCTGATGGGCACTGGCTGTGGGGTCCGTTAACCCTATACCACAATGAGAGGCTCAGATTAAATGAGTTCAGTTTATAGATAACCAAAATTCTTTTCCATTAATGCAACACTCACTGCATTAGCTCTTTCTCTTCAATGTCAATGCATGCCCATCTCTTCAATAAAACATAAAAACAAAAACCAAGAAACATTTTCTCTAACTACTTCTCTTTCCCTTCAAAGACAGGCTTCTTAGTACTTTATGCTGCTTTTCTCTGACCTCACATTTACTGCTGCTCCATTGCAATCTGTCTTACACACTTTTATTCAAATGCTCTTGCTAAGGCTGCCCGTAAATACCTGACCACTTTGCTGCTAAATTCAATGGACCCACTTCACTTTTATCTTGCTGAAGCTTTGTGAAGACTTGGACATTACACTCCTTGAAACTCTCCCCATTTTTGGCTTCTATGACACTGCTCTTTCCCAACTTCCGTTATTACTGGTCTGGCTCTTCTTTCTTGGTCTCCTTTGGGTAATCTCCTTCAGCTCATTTCTTAAATCTTGGTGTTTGAGAGAACACCCTTCCCTCTTTCCCTCTGCTAATTTTCATACCTTATAGTCTCCATGGGTCATCTCAACTATGCGTGAATCTTCAGCTATAGTCTCTATGTTGATGATCTTCAAATCTTCAGCCCAGATCTTTCCACCTGAGGTTCAACCTACAAATATAACTGCCTATTGCACATCTCCACCTACCTGCCCCACAGTTATCTTCAATTCAGCTTACTTGAAATGGTCTCATTTCTATTCCAAAGCCCTATCCTTCTTCTCTCTTAGTGGTAATATTATCAGCCAGCTTGTCTAAGAAACTAACTTGACAGAATCCTTGACTCTTTTCTCTCCTCCCCCCTCCATATTCAGTCAATGACCAAGACACATTGTTCTCTTTGCCTGAGAATAAATCCATCCTCTTACCTTCTGACCCCAAACTTATTCCCATTTCATGAGTTAGGCCCTAATCTTTTCTAGCTTGGGTTTCTGTAAACATACAACTGTCTGTTTCTAGTCTTGTTCCTTGTTTTGCACTCAGTCTAAATCAGCTCTAGAGCTAT